CTGAATACTGAGTCTTAAACAAGTGGGTAATTCAGATGGTTTCTCTAAAATGGTTCAAGGTCATGATGCAGACCCTAAAGTATGCCCCACCCTGGGGACCCAGGGACTGGGAAGTCAGCCGAGCTTGTGTGAAGACACCCTGCCCTCTTAGTGGAAAAGGTGTGGTGCACACTTGTGAGTCCTCCTCTCGGCGTCCGAGTCCCTGTCCTCCAACAACAGCCAGGGGTTCTTTCAGGGACCCCTCCTCTACTCTCAGTCATGCGGTTTGAGTTGAATAGATCTTAACCTCCACTCTAGGGATAGGCCCTGACTGGTCTATTCTAATCTGTATGTACTGTTAACCTGGCCACAAAGATTGAGTCAGGCAAGGGCTGTAACCTAATTTGGGCAAGTGATTTGTGAGATGTTTTTTCTTGGCTTGGTGGAAGAAAGCTTCTCTTCTGTGAGAGCTAAGGGGAAAAATCTCTGCTTGGTGTAGGAGAGCATACGAGGAGCAGAGGTGACTGTGTTGGTCACTTCCTGCAAGTCACTTCTAGACCCAGAATACTGTGCTCATCAGTTGAGCAGAGGCTGACAAACTTAACAGCAGCAGGAGAGCTTCAGGGACCAAGAAGCAAAAAGCAGCCTCCCCAGACCTGGCTGGAAGGGCACCCCAGGCACTCTGTTCAGCTGTTACTGCTCTAGGATCAGGGCATCATTTGGAGCAACAAGGGCGGCGCTCCTGAGTTGCTCCCGTAGCAGTCCCTCAGAGAGTTCTGACTCACTCTCTGGAATTATCCTCTGATGAACTGATAGGCTCCTCTGAGTAAATGGGAGTCTGCCTCCCAGGCGGTGTTCCCGGACCCCAAGCCGTCAGAAGCCTCTTAGGTGGGAAAGCCACCAGAACTGCCATAGTCTAAGGGCATCTCACCAGTTTTGACTAGCTTGGTGGTGGCAGGATTTTTAAAACTTATTCTCTTCAAGATAGGAATATTCTGGAAGACAATGTCTATCTTTAGGCACCATATGTTTTATATATATATATACATATATATATATATTTCAATGATTGTAAATCTGATCTTTGGGACAAGGGAATTATACTCATTCTTATCATCAAATATAATCCATAAGCAAATGACTTTTATATTTTTCTACAGCTCGGTACTCTCTTCTGAGCTTCAGGTGCATAAATCCAACAGTTTATTTGGAATCTCCACTTGGATAGCTGACAGGCATCTCAAATTCAGTATGTCCAAAACTAAACTCATAATCATCTTCCTACAGATTTTCTGCTTCCAGCCAGCGCTAACGAGCACAGCAGCTGTCTCCATTTTGTTTATGTCATGTCATTCATGATATTCCTTTTCTCTTTCATCCCATGTTCAACAAATTGTGCCTCTTAAACTTCAGTTCCATCCACCTTTTCACTTCCATGTCCCCAGTCCTATCCTAGACCATAAGCTTAAGTTCCATCTCCCCAACATACACTATTACCCCACCTCTACACAGCAATTAAAGGGATCTCTTAAAGACTGAAAATTCAGTCATGCCATTCCCCTGCTCACAGCCCTTCATATGTTCCCACTGTACCTAGGACACAACCCAGAATCCTTGTTAAGTTGCTTATAAGACCTTGCATAGCCTGGCCTCTGCCTGGATCTGCAGTCTCTTCTCACACTGTGTTTCTGTGGCTCCAGTCACACTGCCTACTGTTGCTTGATCTCAATGTCTTTCTTCTTCCAGTGTCTTCCTTCTGCCTGAAATTCTTCATTCTTTTACTGGCAACGCCTGTTCATCCTCCATACTCAGCTTGGTGCTGTCCTTTCTTCAGGGAGATCTTCCCTGACACCCTCCCCTTCTTGGACAAGGTTTAGCCTCACTTTCGTAAACTCAGACACCTCCTACTGTTCTGCAAGTGCATTTACATACTCGCTTAATTTTTCCAATGGCCACCTCCCTCTTTGGGCTCTAAATTCCTAAGGGCAAAGTCTGTATCTCCACCATCTAGGACCGTGCAGGCACACGGCAAGGACTTTTGAAGATACTTCTTTTTTGGGGGGGGTATGATAAATTGAGAGGATTAAGAGGTACAAATTACTATGTATAAAATAAAATAAGCTACAAGGATATATTGTACAGCACAGGGAATGCAGCCAGTATTTATAATAACTATAAATGGAGAATTGTGAATCACTTTGTTGTACACCTGAAACATACAATATTGTAAATCAACAATACCTCAATTTTAAAAAAGCAGCCATTATAGAAAACAATAAGGAGTTTCCTTAAAAAACTAAAAATAGATTTACCATATGATCCAGCAATCCCACTCCTGCACATGTATCTGGACAGAACTCTAATTTGAAAAGATACAAGTACTCCAGTGTTCATAGCAGCACTGTTTACAATAGCCAAGATGTGCAAACAATCTAAATGTCCAAGTGACAGATGATTGAGAAAGAAGTTGTGAGATATATATCTATAGGTATATATATAGATAGATAGATAGACATAGTGGAATACTACTCAGCCATAAAAAGAATAAAATAATGCCATTTGCAGCAACATGGATGGACCTGGAGATTGTTATACTAAGTGAAGCCAGAAAGAGAAAGAAAAATACCATATGATATTACTTATATGTGGAATCTGAAAAAAAAAAGACATAAGTGAACTTATTTACACAATAGAAACAGACTCACAGACATAGGAAACAAACTTATGGTTGCCAGAGGGGAAAGGATGGGGTGGAAAGGGATAAATTGGGAGTTCAAGATCTGCAGATACTAACTACTATATATCAAACAGATAAATAACAAGGCCCTACTGTATAGTATGGAGAACTACATTCAATATCGTGTAATAGCCTATAATGAAAAAGAATATGAAAAGGAATATATATGTATAGTTGAATCACTGTTATACACCAGAAATTAACACATTATAAACAGACTGTACTTTAATTCAAAAAAAAGGAAAAAAAGAAAGCACCTTTTATTGAGGTATACTCAGCCATCCCTCAGTATCCAAGGGGAATTGGTTCCAGGACCCCCACAGATACCAAAATCTGAGACTGCTCCAGTGGCTTGTATAAAATGTATTTGCATAGACTTATGTGCATCCTCTGCCTTCCATCCTGTGTACTTTTAACTCATCTCTAGATTACTTACAATACCTAATGCAATGTAAATGCTATGTAAATAGTTATGAGTGCAATGTAAATGCTGTGTGAATAGTCGCCAACATGGCAAATTCAAGTATTGCTTTTTGGAACTTTCTGGGATTTTTTTTCCCTTGAATATTTTCTGTTGGTGGTTTGGTGATCCTGCAGATGTGCGATCCACGAATACA